GGGGGGTGGGGGGGGAGCTTGGCGCCATGCTTGCAGGACCCAACACATCCCATGTACACTGCCACTCGCACACCCACGTAGAGCCAACGAAGCAACACGATAAAATGCCGAAGAACCCTCCGTGTGCGTCCCCCATTTTAATGTTGTTCGTTTGTGGTCGCTGTTGTTTTATTGGTCCTTTTCCCATCTTTGACTGCCGTCGCCTGCCTTGTTTCCTTCTTTTTCTACTTTGTTACGCTCTAGCCGGGAAAAGAGAGAACCCGACTGTAGATGGTTTTTGTATATTCAGTCCTTTTTTTTTGGGGAGGAGGGAGGAGGGAGGGTTTGTTCTGCTGCAAGTTGTTGTTGCCTTTTTTTTTTCGTCTCTCCCGCTGAAATGAAGTGGAGGGGCTTCCTGCAACGTTCCTCTGTTTCAGTGACTCTCTTTCCCTTTCCCGTTATACGATGCGTTCGTGGCCTTCTGACCCTTCAGATCTCTGCCGTTTTGATGCGGTTTTATTTTTTTATTTTTCTTCTTGTTGTTCAATGCCCCCTCCCCCCTTGCGATTGCGATGACTTTTTGCTATGCTGTGTTGTTGTTGTTGTTGTTTTTTTTTTTGTTTTTCTCGGTGCCGCGTTGTTGAATTGGGCCTCTTTTGCCGCGCACGGGTGACGCCGTGGGGAGTGTGGGGTGACTGTCGTTGGCTCGCCGCCGCCGCCGCCGCCCAACGGGCGGCCGGGTCGCTTCCCTCCCAACGCTGCGGCAGGCGGTCGCGCTCGCGCCTGAAGACGTGCGCATGTGCGTGCTTCAGCAGACGCCTCCACTTTTGCCTCTCTGGGGAGGGTTTTCGGAAGAGGCGTTAAGGCGGGTCGTCTCACGAATTCACGACGCTAACACGCTAACAGTCAGCTGCGTGAAACGCGGCAGCGTCGAATTTCTTCTTCTGCCTGTGGCCTACTCACTTTGGAGGGGCGGGAGCGGGCGAGGCTTCTACCCGGTGATGCCTTCCACCGCATATTGCCTTTACCCCTCGAAAAGCTTTGGTGTGGGAAGCAATGGATGCATAAATTGCGACGGCCATTAGCGTCCATTGCTGAGAGGAGTTGTTGTTGTTGTTTTGCTGGCACAGTGGGCGAAAAAGAGAAGAAAAACACAGGGGGTGGGGGAGATGGTGATCAGTCCAGAGGGCCGCAGCCCTTTCTGCGAATCCGTTGGCCTGTTGCTGCCGAAATCAAATGCCAAATTTGCTTCTGGAGTCTATATGAAGTTACAAAAGGGAATGTGTATGGGGAGTTGCAGAGAGGTACGTTCACGGTGTGGAGCACAAAGTAAGGGTGTGTGTTTGTCTCTGGCGAGAGTGAAGGGGGTCGTGGCCAATGTGTGCGGCTTGTGAAGGAAAATTGAACACAAGCGGTGGGAGCGACAATAACAGGCATATGCTTGAGTTGCAGTGTAGGAGTTATATATATATATATATATTTGTTGCGACCTCTGTGAAGGGAATATTAGTCTGTTCCCTTTCTCTCCGTGCGTTTGCGTCATTGTACAGGCTTTGTGAAGGGAAAACCGATATTTTTTTAGTTGCATACACACACGCCCTTTGCGCCCACGAGAGTACAGGCAAAGCAAGAAGAAGGCTGGGAAAATACGCAGAGAAACGATGGGGTACAGTTTTTCGCGGGCTCAAATGGAGGACTACAAGGAGCTAGTCAAGGACCGCTTCTCTGAGGAGGCCATCGAGTTTCTGTACGTCAAATTTCACAAGGCGGCGCCTGAGGGCGTCATGACGCCTGTAGAATTTAAACGCTACATAGACAGTACAGGTGTGTATAAAAACTACAGACAAACCCACCTGAACGCACCGTTGCCAGGCCAGATGAAGAGTGCTAGTGGTACTGGTGGTGGCGCAGGGAGCGCGGCGGCGAAGAAGACATCGACGCACATAGTGGACAGAGAGATGTACTTGCACCTGTTTCGTGCCTACGATCGTGATTGCGACGGTGTGATTTCCTTCAGGGAATTTCTGCTGTATCATTTGGCGGTGATGTACAGTACCGAAGAGCTGTTTGTTGTTGTGTTCAACGCATACGACGACGACCAGGACGGTTATCTCTCCCTTGCGGACATAGTCAGCACCATCACCGCGGCAACGCGTTACGTGGGGGACTGCGACGTGGAGGATGAGGAGGTGCAACGCGTGATTGAAGAGGAGGCGCAGCGACTCATGTTTTTTTTGGACGTCCGCAAAGATGGGCGTATTCGGCGCGATGATATGCGGCTGATCACGCAGAAGCACCCCGAAGTACTGGAGAAGATGAAGAATTTGATGTGAATCGCCTTCCCAGCGTGCGTGTGTGCGTATGTGTGCGAGAGAGAAACGGAAAGGAAAGAGCCGAAAATGTATTGCAACTGTAAATGTCCCTTCCACGAAGTGACGGCCGGTGGGTACTGAACGAAGGAAAGGAGATAGTTTCATTCACAGTTTGTGTGGAGTCGAGTCGTCTCGTTTTGTACGGTTGCTTTTTCTAGCTGCGCCGAAGCCGACGTTACTCCCCTCTCTTATGTGTGTGTGTGTGTGTGGTAGTAGTAGTAGTAGTACTGCCAGTGTCGCCCCCTCCTCCCTCCCAAAAAGGAAAACAGCAACAACAACAACAAGAAGAAGGGCGCCCTCCACAACAATATTGCTGCTGCGCCCCGGGCCTCTCTTGTTCTTGTTGTTGTTTTCGGCTTGTTTGTGGCGGTGCGGTGGAGTGACGTGGGACCTGTTTGCGGCGTGGCCAGTTCTCCCAGCGGCGCAGTCCACCGCAGCAATGGCCCGCAAAGGCGCCAAACATTCCTTTCTGCCCTGTTCTTTATTATTATTATTTTTTTTTTCTTTGCGCGACCTCTCCTGTGGCGTCTTTGGCTGAACGCACGAGCAAAGGAAGCAGGCACTCTGACTCCATCCCCTGAATAGTCCTGTGGTGAGAAGGTGTTTGCCGTGTTGCCGCGACTGCGCCGAAACACCTCTCCGTTAGGGCACGCCTCCCGCCGGGGAGCCACAGACATGGGCAAGCGGCACTTAGCGCCGGGGAGGAAAGGCCACGGAGGCGGCGGAGGAGCAACACATGCGCAACCCCTGCCTGGGCGGGACGTAACGCCTCCGACGCAGCCTCCTTCAGAACTCCTCATGGAGAAGGGCTGCGCCGGGGCCGCGAGCACCAAGGATGAGCTTCGGCAGCCCCGTCCTCGTCAGCGCCAGCCGCCTCGCCGACAAAATCCCATCGTGAAACACACGAAGGGTCGAAACACCTCTTCCCTCAATGATCCTGTGCTTGACGAAGCACCACAAGCAGCAGCTTCAGCCACCTCGCAGTTGCCCGAAGCAGGTAGAGTTTCAGAAGGATCCTCTCATGTGCAGAGCGTTGTCAGTTGCGGAGGCATAACAAGTGGTGGTATTTCAAACAACGGTGGTTACCGTTTGGCCCCTCCACATGTATTGGTGCAACAAGAACACACTGCGTTACTAGCGGAGCGGGACAACTGCGACGAGGCGGCATCGTGCTTACCCGCGAAAAGCTCCTCTGAGTGCGACGCATATTCGTTGCCTGGCCACAGTCACACTGCTGCGGGCGGAGTGCCCGCGGAGGACGGTGTCCACAGGACTGCCTTGAGTAAAGAGGAACGAGAAAGGGTACCGGAGCTTCGTATCTATAGGAATAGCGAGTCTAGTGACGCGAATGAATTGCTGCCCATTGCTGTGGCAAGTCCCATGGATAGGTGTTCCGAGGCCGAGGTGTTGTCCACATCGCTAAATGCGGAGCAGCAGAGGCAGCAGCCGCCGAATGAAAACGAAGAAGACAAAGAAAATGAGGAACATTCTCACATTCAGAGGACCGGAACACCTTCCGTTGCGGGCTTACCGGGAATGTCGGTGAGACCAGGGAACTCTGCAACGAGCCCGCCGTTCCCTGACCGTGCGCTGATGAAATCGCACTCGAGTTCACTACGGATGAGTGTGCCCACAAGTACGGAAAAAGAGGAAAGAGAGGAGGGGGATGTCTTTTCTTTATGGGGCATCCATCAGCAGCAGCAGCAGCAGCAGCAGTGCGACACGCAAATCGACAACAGCAGGTATGGATGCCAGAGTAGCTCAATCTCCTCGCAACCTGAGTCTTCGACGTATCGGCGCCAGCGCAGTTACAACTTCACACCAGAGGTGAGTCTTTCACTTTGCCGACTTGTGGATGAAAACGTCGTGGCATCCCTCTCCCAAACAGTGGAACGGATGATGCCACAGCGGCAGAGGCAATTAGTCTGCGTCGCCAAATATCTTACAGAGGCTATTGCGCACGAGGCACGGAGTAAAGGCGTAAACTACGGCAGTTTACGTTACTATGTGTTTGGAAGTGTTGCGATGTGCACTGTATTGCCGGATGGCGATAACGACGTGACGATTGATGTGGAAGGAATTCTAAATCCTAGCAAAATTCTTGAGCGAGGAGAGACCTTTGTGGATCCTCAATCTCGTGCAGTGAGGAGCGAAAGCAGCAGCAGCAGCCACAACAATAACAACAATCACAACCACAACGAAAACGATAACAGCGACAGCAACAATAATACTACTACTAACAATAACAACGATATGTCGTTATCTCAGGCTGCTGTCATTGCAGGCGGTGAACTCCTCTCAGCTGTGGCGGAATACTTGCGGCAACGCAGTACTCCGCTCTACGTTGACGCCCTGGTACTTGCTGAGGTCCGTGTCCTGAAGCTCGTTATGGAAGGCAGCTGCTTTGACATTACAGTGGGTCAGCTGGGTGGTGTAGAGTGTGTTCGCTTTTTGCATGAGATGGATGTGATAATAGGAAGCCAACACCTACTACAACGAACCCTACTCTTGCTCAAGGCGTGGTGCTGCTATGAAGCGCACATCCTCACTGGACAGGGTGGATACCTTTCTTCCTACGCAGCCACCATCATGCTCATTGCCATGATGAATACCGTGGAGTTCCTCGAGGACGTGGATGCGGCGGCGGAAAAGGAAGACGAAGACGAAAGTAAACCGAGAAGTGGGCAACAAGAACCCTTCAAAAACGTTTCACCACTTCAACTCTTTTCACGTTTCCTTAAATTCTTTAGTTACTTTGATTTTGAGCGCTACTGTGTCACAGTATTTGGCCCGCTTCCACACGCTTTCCTGAAGGGCACATCGCTTGACCTCACTCGGCTAGAGTTTTCAGAGGGAAGCGGCGACAATCGTGGGGAGCCGCCCAATTCGCCGAAGCCTGAGACGAAGGAGAGCGCGTTCGAGGAGGTTATTGATGTGAACGTCCTGGGCCTTACTGCAGAGGGGGCGAGGGTCTTTGGACACTGCCTTCGTCGCCGTGCCAAGCCACTTATAACAGTAAATGGGGTGCGACACATTTTATACGATGAACACATACGTCGTCAGCATGTTAGAACGAAGTCGCGTGGATTACAACATGAAATGGGAGGGATGGAGTCGGCCTCCGGCACTCCGGGGAACGGCATTGGGGATGTAGAGCAGCTGCCACTTAACTCCAGTGGCGAAGTGCCGGGAGACGCCAATTTTCCCTGCTCCAACTTGGACACCAGTCACTTCCCCCTTCGTACGATGAATGTGATGGATCCGCTGCGATGGAGTGCCAGCCTTTGCCGTGGAGTGAGTCGTAATCACTTGCAGCGTATCCGCCGCGCCTTTCGGGAGGGTCTGGCCCTATTTGAAAGGGGTTCCACTATCATTGGTGACGCATCTTTCTCTTCCTGTGCAGAGCATAGTGAGGGCAGCGATGCTAGCTGGGAGAGATCCTCAAGAACGGGTGAACACTCAGCAATTGTCTTGGATCCTGTGAAACTGGTGGTGGAGCAAAGGAACCGTCTCGAGTCAATTAATGGTGTTTTAAAGGATCTTTTTGGGCATACGTTGGCAATACTGCGGAGGCATATTTCAGACTCCTCATCGTTAATGCACCCACAACAGGTACAATGCAGGCGTTGCCCTCGTCCATCCTTTTTTTGCGCTTCACATTTAAAACAGATGTGTGAGCCGCAATGCGTCTTTGATCTTCATGACACCGTGCAGAATTGCAGGAACGAGCACGATGCGGTTGGTTCCAGAGCACGGGGAACAATTGAGGACGCAAAAGTATCTCCATTTCCTCCAAATGTTTTAGGCGAACGAAACAACAGCCACTATCACCACCAGCAGCGGCAGAATCAACAACAACAATTGCAAATGTTATCGAGTTCCGGATCTATGCTGTTAGGAACAGGACCAATGCTGTCTACTCTTCCCCCCAATCCAAATGTTTCGCTACGGTTTGTGCCTTCCGTATGTGGAATGGCTTGGCAATGTTCGGACAAGCAGCTCAATAGGGATTCCTGTATGAACCAGATGGCAATAGCCCAGCATCTCGCTCGTGGGGCACCACTGCTTCGACCTCGTACCAAAGTCACTTCTCTACTGGGGGGTCAACGCGTGCCCCAAGTAGGTGGCGTGTCGAATAGCAATTTATGCCCCGCTGATTCTGCTGCTTTCCAGTGTTACCCGGGGTTCCCAACAGCAGGAACTCTGGGACCAAGCTTTAGGACACCTATCGAGCACAACGCGTTGGATGGAGCTCCAACGGGTTTTGTGCCGTTGCCACTCCCTCCTCCGCCACCGCCTCCATCTGTTTTAGTTTCATCACCGTCTTTAAGTGACACTCGCTACCAGACGGCGACACTTTCTCAGAAGCCCCAAGGCGCTTCTAGTCGATGCGTGGCATCTCATTCGTACTTGGACGTTTTCGGCGGTGGGATATACCCTTTCCATCCGCCACCTGTGGACGCCTCAAATTTGGTTGACGCAAAAAACAAAAATGGACGCCTCTTTTGATTTTGCCCCATTGTTTTTTTTTGTTGTTGTGTTCTTTTTCTCTCTGTTGGGGCGTAAAAGAAGGAGTTTTTGGTTGAAACTGAGGTAACGGCAAAGATATATACATAAATAATATAGAAAACTAAAATAATGGGCCTCTTTTTTTTTGTATGTGTGTTTCCATTTGAGTCTTACAAGAACGAGTGCGTTAGTTTGGGACGACCACGACTTGGTGCGTCAGAGTTTGCAATACATGCGTTTTCACAGAAGCTGAGTTGGGGACTCGGGGCGGCGGCGTCGGCAATGATGCTTTCAGATTTTTTTTGAAAAATGTATTTTTGCCTTGTCGTTGCTGGTATATGTTTTTTTTTCTGTTTTGTTGTTTGCTGTTTGCGTTGTTTTTTCCCCCTTTGGAGTACACCCTCTTTATTTGTATCCCGTTTTGATTTTGTTTATCTTTCATGGGGAAATAGGCCTGGGATGGCGGGGCACGAAGGAAAAAAAAAACTCTCTGCGTGGTGCTGGCGGGCGGTGTGTCTTCCAGTGCAGGGTGGGGCCTCCAGCTCCACACCCCGCCTTCTTTCTGCCATGTGTGTGTGTGTGTGTGTGTGTGTGTGTGTGTGTTTCTTGCAGGTGAGAGCGAGCGAGCGAGCGAGAGAGAGAGAGAGAGAAAGAGAGAGGGCCCGTTTCGTCCACGGGACAAATCATTTTACTGCTTTCCCCCCAACACTCCTACGACGGTCAGTATCCGAACTGCATAAAATTTCCACGAAGAAAAAGTGCGGTTGCCACATAACTATGTATTTATCTCAGGTCTTGTGTTTCCTGAAGGGAGGGAATGGCACGTGAAAACGGTTAGGAAATTTTGACCGTTTCCCCTTCTTATTTCTCTTTTCCTTGTGTAGTTGTTCTTGGCCCTATCAGATGACGTATGCTGGGCTATCTTTGCTCGTTTGTTTCTGTTTATGTCCTTGGTTTTTGCTTGTCTTCCCGTTGAGTCTTCGTTGAGATTTGCTGCGGCCCCACTTCGTTCCTCTAGTTTAAGTGTGTGCGTGTGCGTGTGCGTGTGCGTGTGTTTTCGTTCTTATTATATTTCTTTCCGGCTTGTCGTTGCGTGGTCGCCAACACGGCGGCTCCTCTCAGTATGCCACCGGGGAGGCGGCACACACCCCGCCGTCGCGGTGCCGCAACTGTCGTTACTTCTGCTGCTTTTCTTGTGGGATTGTTCTCTGGGGCGGGGGTACCGCCTACGCTTGAAATGGTGCCTGTTTGGTTTTAACTCATTGTTTTAGCGAATGACATCCCAGCGAGGCAAAGCGGAGGGCGCCGCGGCGGCGGCGGCGGCGGCGGCGGCCTCGGGCCCACCGTTCAGCCCGCCTCTCTACCTGCAGCGGGCTCAAAAAATTCTCCAGATACTGCAAGCGAACAAATGTCGATCCTTCATTGACGCCGGTTGCTCCCGCGGGGATCTCCTGCGACTAATTTTGCCGTGTCGTCTCTGCGAGCACTCCTTCACCCGCGTGATGGCAGTTGACTTGGACGAGGATTCAATTCGCGAGGCCAGTGTTGTGGCGCCGCCCCCTGTCTTGTTGTCCCCGCTTGCGTATCTGCATCCTATGCGTATTGACTTTGTTCGAGGCGACCTCACGAGGCCACCACGCCTGCCCGCCTGCAGCGACCGATCTGATGAAGCGGAGGCGAACGTGGGCGGGTCAGCCGTTGTTTCTTCGCTCTCGCAGTTGCCGCAGTTTGATGCGGTTATTTCGGTGGAGGTGTTGGAGCACATGGCCCCGCAAGATGTCCCTGCCTACACCGAAGTCCTCTTCGCCCATCTGGCAGCCAGGTCCGGCGCACGTATTGTGGTCATCACGACACCCAATCGTGATCGAAATCTGCATGCCGCCTTTGAGACCCCCAATGGCGACGTCTGCGTCGACGCGTCTCCTCAATTCGAGCGGATCGCAACCGAACTTCCTTACCCCGTTCGCCACGTGGGCCACAAGTTTGAGATGACAGCCGCGCAGTTTAAATGCTACTGCGACTATGTGGTGGAGGCCTATTGTCCTTTGTGGGCTTCATACACCTTTTTTGGCGTTGGTGACAATTACACGCAAGGGGCAATTTTTTACGCCGCTTCGTCGTCAAGTGGTCCTTTTTTCGTGGACGATGTAAGAGCAACATGCACAACATTTGCGGCACTGAAGAAGAAGAAAATGTCTGGAAAGCGAGAAGCTGGGGTGCTGCGATCATCGGCTTTAGGCTCGCGTGCTAATGTGGCCTTCACTGCTGCCTGAGGTGCCTTGGGTCCACGACAGTGTGAGTCGTACAAGTCTTTTTCCGTGGGACACGTTGTTTGGCGAGCTCCCACATCGGTTGGGTGCAGCATCGCCCTTACCCTTCTGTAGGTCACCATACAACTACAATCTTATTGCCACAGCGCATGTGCAGTATATTCCTTTGTGGAAGCGCATTCAAAATGCAGTGTACGACGCCTTTTACCTTTCTGCCTGCGAGGAAAACTCGAAGCATTGGCGACTGAAAAAACTGAGTTTCGGAGACGTGGCTGAGGCACACGAATACACCTTGTTTGCACCCCTTCATGCAAGCTTGTGCTCGCTCGTAACCTGTCTGCGGAAACAGGAGGAGCACTGGAAAAGAAGGGTGAGGTCTAATTCTGAAGGGAGGAGGAGCACTGGTGTATCCCAAATGATGCGAGCAGATGCTGATGCACCTCTGCCATGCCTCGCGCAAGATATGCACTTTCTTCTCCACTGGCTTCTGCACAGTTGCTGGGGAATGGATGTGGTGCGGCAGTGTCTGGATAATGACGCCTTTGGATCCTCTAAAGAAGCACTGAACCCAAGTGAAACACGATTGATACTCTTTTTGGCCGCCGTTGGCGTGATTCCAGGCGCCGCGAAGCATCTCTCGCACGTCTTGCACCGCCGAAGTTGGTTCGCAGTAAGCGCTAAAAGGCGAGGGCTGGGTTCCACCCACGATGGTCAGATGCACCTCAGCTCAGGTGGCTTGGTGGCCTCTGACGTAAACAGAGTGCGACTGCGGCGGTTAACGGAAGCTTTTTTGGGCTTTGAAGTCCCTTGTTGCTGCTTTGCTGTAAGTGAATAAGCTGTAAGTGAGCCCAAAGTAACTTTTTATCTCTCTCTCTCTCTCTCTCTCTCTCTCTCT